TTGATGATTGATTTGTTACTGTTTGTGGTGGCGACTGAAGATGTAGAAGTTTGGATCTGTGTTGTTGGTATGAATGATGAGATTGTAGGTGTATTTAGATATTGTTTGGTAAAATTGGATGAATTGGGAAGTTTTGTTTTTGTAGTACGTGTGATAGATAAAAAAGTTGTAGGTCCCAAATTCTGTATACGTCAAACAAGCAAACGGAATTATTTGCTGCCTCCTTGAAGTGCAATGTACGTAAATAGAAAAATTTACTTTTTTATTTGGTCCGGAGATGCTATCTTTTCGTTGGCTACCATTATTGTTTTCCCTTTTTGCATTACCCGAAGCTTCTTTCTTATTGGCATTCGTTTGATCTTGGACTAGAAATTTAATACCGAAGAATTAATATACATCATTTTCTATAATGCAAACTTAGGTCATACAAAATTAATTTTTTGCCTCTCATATCACAAAATTTGTAAAGTGTTCCAACCGGCCGGATAAAATTTTGTATGTTAAAAATTTTTTGAAAATTTTGCATATATCAAAAAAATTATAATTTCAATTTTTTAAAAAAGTCACTCGGCCGGGTTATTAGAACCAAGAAATTAACTTTTTATGCCCTTATAACAGTCGTCGATTATGAATTGAAGTGATTCACACACCATTATTATTACTTTCTTTTCGTACATGTTTTTTAATATTAGTGGTGCTACCTTCGTCCCCTGTATTAGGACCATCTGACAAATTATTCCCATTAGTTCCAGGGACTCCTATGCCTACATTACCGCCAGAAGTATCCTCATTACGAATCCATTTAAACACAGGAGGGACCATTCCTTTTTCAAAATAAAGCGTTGCCAGGGTAACAGCTTTGTCTTTTTGAAAAGCCTCAGAATTTGGACCTTCCATATATGTTGTATACGGTTCAACTTTTGGATCAAATGGCTTTTGATCTTTCTCAGGTACTATGGAATAGGATCCGTCTTCGAAATAACAAACTAGGCTTTCCCCGTCGCTTGGATATTGAACATCACTATCCATTTTTTGTTTGAATATTTCGATTTCTTTTCGCGGAACGACCTTATTTTTTTTTTTTAAAAAAAAGTAAGTTACTTATATGTTTCTTAGAATCATGATCACGATTTGATTTAATTACTAACTAAAGCTGGCCACCAATGAGGTGCCTCAGCATCGTCAGGATCGACAAAAACCACTTTTCTTCTAAGGTGTTTTGATTCATTTAACCTTCTGTTGTTGGTTCTGATTTCCATTGTGTTAAGACTTTATTATAGGAGAGATCGGAATTGTCATACTCTTTAAAGATCTATACTGTCGTCGCATTAAAAAGTTAGGATTTATTTACAAACACAAATCCCGTGTCGCACAAGCATAGTTAAAAATCCATCTGATTGGTTGTCCCCAAGTTTCTATTGGTCGTCACGTTACACCTGATCTTGCTCTCTGATTGGCCAAAATCGAAACTTTGGAGCTTCGCTTCGGGCTATTTTTAGGTCATTCTTTCAATACTGCAAGTTACGTGTTTTACGCGAATGTACGAAAAAAAACAAATATTTCAGTTCAAGTAAATTTCAATTTCTTTTACTTTAGTAATTATTTTTAATTAAACACCTTTTTATATTTAACTTATAAACTATTAACAATTTTTATTTCATAATTTAGGTATATCTAATATTTGTTTTAGACAATCTTTGGTAGAAAAATCAAAAAGTAAGTAGAGTTTCAATAGGGCTTTTTGGCTAGGCGAACTTGAGATTCTTGAAATTTAACTAGCTGAATTAATAGATGTTAGAGGCTTATATAGAATTGAATAGTATTGTGGGCAACTGTTTTTCAAAAAATCAGTACAAATTTTAATATAGTTTTGCTTAAAATACTAGAATTGACTATATTAAGTTGATAACCTTCACTGATCATCTTTTGAATTCTTTGTTGAGGTCTAATAATTCTGAATTAAGAATTATTTATGTATCTTTCTCTATATAAAGAATTCTTTATTTACATATTATGTTCGTATATTAATCATAATTTTTTATAATTTTCTTAGACTAAATTGAATTTAATAATATTCTCAGAAAATTAGCTTCCGCAATTCTTCAAACAAATTTAAATTTCAAACTGTTAATTCTAACTGAATACTGATTAGAAATCTCTAGGTATATTTTAATTTATATTTATTGATTTATTTATTAAAATATTAATTTAATTCTAATATTTTGTTAATTTTTAATATAAGATTTTTAAAAAAATAATTTGATTATATCTACTCAAGTTTTCAAAAGTTTTTTGTTAGTTCAAATTTATAATATTATTTACTGTTTTAAATAAAGTTTAATTTAATACTTTTTGAGATATTAAAGTATCTAAAATAATATTAACATTAATATATATTCATTTAAATATAATATGTGTACCTTAAAATTTCTAATTCAATATGTTATCATCAGTATTTGATATACTATAATTAGTACTTGATTCTTAATTATATATATATAATTTAATTCTCTAGCTCAATAATATTAACTTATATATGATTAATTAAGAATTTTTTGATTTAGTAATTATTAAAAATTAGATGATAATATTTTATCAAATTTAGTCTAATTATTTACGTGATATTGCATAATAACTGATAAAATTGTATTGTATAATTTTATTCAATTAATCAATTGTATTTCTTATATAGCTATAAATCACTTAAAACTATATAATTTATTATAATCAAAATTGGATTTAATTGGTCAATTCATTCTTAGACTATAAAATTGCATAAGAGATCCCAATAAACTTTCATACAAATAAATTATACAGATTAAATAATTTAAATAATACAAAAATTTAAAAATTATTTTTGCATTTTTATTAAAAGATATTTATATATAGTTTTAGACTAACTAGTATATATATTGTTGCGAAAGAAGAAGAAAAATAATACAAATTTCTAATCTAATGATATATAAATTATTAAAGATTATACTTATTACTTATAAAAGTAATACTAAAAAAAAAATCAGTAATTGTTTTATGATCTGATGTAATAATTTATTGTCCTTATTAAGAAACTCTATAATTGTCTTAGTATGAAATATTTTTTAAAGTATAGTGATAAAGTATTAGATAAAGCATTTGAATTCTAAACTACAGAACTAAACTAATAAAATTGAATCAGATAATATTATGTACTAGAATATCATGAAGAAGTTTATTATATAATAATTAATCAATTATTGACTTAAAGAAATTATAGATTAAAAATTAAGCCTTGAACAAATACTGCTTTATATTAACAAGAATTCTAAATTACAGAATTAGCCAATTAAATAATGGTTTCACTTGATTCTAGAAATGATTTGATCAATACTTCTAGCTATAGAATTATATAATTAACGTTTATTAAAATATAAATAAAAGGTCTTTGTATTGCAATACAGCTACAGAGCTTTAAATCTTTTAATTTTCTTAAAATTAGAACTTAAACTAAATTATTACTATATAATAGTTATTGAACTACTTTCAGTCATTACTAGCATTAAATATATACAAGTTAAATGTTTAAAGTTTATTAGCAAAATCCTAAATATAATTCTAAATCTTTAATAAGATTTATACAAATAATTAATAAATAACTTATACTCAAAAATATTCATTTGATTTCCTTTTTAAGTAGGAAGAGTGAGTCAATGATACCTAACAAATAACAAATTATTCATCATTGATGTCTGATGAAACTATTTGTCAAGCAATTTCTAATTGACAAATTGATGAATGATAAAACTTATAACGAATGATAAAACCTATAATGAATAATAAAACCTATAATGAATGACAAGACTATTGTTATTTTTATATATATATTGATATTGTTATAGAAAGTGTAGTCTAGGCCTTCTTATACACTAACTATAACAGGGATACAGCTATCTAGAGACTTTAAGAAGCGGTGTCAAAGAGGAAGGTATA